AACCCACCCCAACCCTCTGTGCCTTGGTTTCCCCGTGGCGGGGGGTGGGGGTGGGAGAGTGGGGGGTTGTTGTGGATGGGGAGTAAGATCCTTTGTCTGGCGGAGGGCAGATGACACAGGGCCTCTGCTGACAGGCCCTCAAGAGGTGCAGAGTGCCAATCTCTTCCTGTCACCGGCCTCTTGGCACCCATGTGGAGTTGCCAAGGCTGTTCGGAGAGCAGTAAACACAGAGATGGGGGCAAGAGCCCTTCACATCCAGCCCCCCACTGCCATCTCCAGTTCAGTCAAGAATGGGGCCAGCCACTCACCTCGAGGGTTTCAGTTCAGCCTCTGGGCTGGGGACAGGGGTTCCGGACAGGGACCAGGGCAGGCAGCAGGGTCCAGAGACCTTGCCTAAGAGATGGGGCCACCTTCCAACCTCCTTCCCCCGGCACGATGCCTGAGTCACTGTGGGAGGGCAGGGTGACAGGCTGGCATTGAGAGTTACACCGCTCCCATCATGACTGTGAGAGGGTACTGAACCTGTATGGGCCTTGGGACAAGGGACCACCAGCCGGTTCCTCATCCACTTGGGGAGTGGAGTCAGAGCAGGAATTCAGTGGCTAATGTGCGGGTTGCCTGGGGCTCTGTTTACAGAAATGGGCCTGTCTGATCCTCAGGAGGAAAGCACCAATCCTGCGCTCCGTAAATGCTCCCTTAGCCCCAGCATCCCAGTGCTGCCTGGGCTTCTCTTCTCCTCTACCCCCCCACCCGACCCCTACCTCACGACTGCTTCCCCTTCCCCTCCCTTTCCCTCGTTTCACCCAGATCCTTAACAGGAAAGTCTCACTGGAAGATACCACAGGGGACACACATGTCACGGGGGCTACTCAGGCCAACACTCAGGGGGTGGGGACTTGCAGCTGGCACCACCCAGGGGATCCCATTTCAGTCCCCAGGGCCAGCTGGACCCAGAAAGGGACAGCCTTTGCCCTTCTGGTGGCCAGCATGCCACAACCCCGGACATTCAACTCATCAGTCTCTGACAGTGACCGACATGCCACTGTGGGGGCCTAGACAGCGGCCCCTATCACCGAGCAATTTGTGTGCACAGATGGTCACATACAGGCAGAGGAGCCACCTGAAGTGGGCCGGGCCAAGGTGCAGTCATAAAATCCCTGCAGGGAAGAGTAACTGTTGCTGGAGCTGCTTTTAGATGGCATTTCGTAAAGTGTGGCTCAGGGACCATCTGCTGAAACTCACTTGGGGACTGGATAAAAATGTGGATTCTTGAGCATCACCCCAGACCTCCTGAAGCCAACTCTCTGGGGGGAAGAAACCAGGAATCTGCATCTTCCGCAAGGTAAGAGGTGATCCTGAGGCATAGTAAATTTGAAAGTCACTGCTTAGAGGAGATCCCAGAAATGTCCCTATAAGGCCATCAAACATAGGGAGGAAGGGGTATTAGCCATGCTGACTCCTTATGCCACCCATTCTGCCTTAGGCTTCAAGTGCAGGTCTTTAACGTCATCTGTCCTCTTCTCCAGCTTCGGTGACCCCCCAGAAGCCGCGTCAGGTCTGCAACGTGGCTCTCTGCAGCAGTGAAGAGGAACCCGCACCAGCACCTGGGGCATGGGCTCCAGCTACTTGGCTCTGAGTTTCCTGGGAGCCAAAGCCAAAAGGCAACCAATCATGGTTATGTAGTCCTCTAAATCAATACATTTAACATGTATGTGGTCAGCATGTGCCAGGCACTTGGCTAGGCCCTGCTCACACAGAGGTCAAGACACAGATCTGGTCCCTATCCTCACCTCCCGGGTCCGCATGAAGAGAGAAGCTTTGCTTACATTTAGCTTCCACAGAAATCTCTTTATATGGGGCATACAGAGGAGGCACGCGCGCACACGCACACACACACACACCTCTCGAGTGCTGTAGCAGATTTCATAATGCAGTTTCTGGTAGCATTCAGGCCAAGGGCATTACCCTCAATATCCATCTTAGTGAACGCAACAGGAATCCAGATAAATGGTCCACATACAGAGGTTTCTTGTGATTCTGATTGTGCCGAGGATAAGTCCTCAACTCTCTAATACAGGAAGAGGACCATTTGCCCTTCAACTATAGCAATAGGAGGAAAAATGCTTTAAGCTGGATATAAAATTTTATGCTCCACGAGGTGAAAATCTGTATGTATATGAATAAAGATAAGAAGGGAAAATGAAAATTCAAAAATACAAAAAAAGACATAAGGGCTCAGGCTCTTTGGGGGAGGGTGGGGAAGTGCTCTTAAATCTTAAAATAACGACTTATCATTGCCATCACCTGGCTCACGAGCGCCTGCATCCAGGCCTATTTTAAATGTCTCCTTCAGCCTCGTGGAGCTCAGCTCAGAACCACAGACTCCATAAGAGCCCCAGGTGCTCACCTATCGCGGCTCAACACACGGGGTGACGTTATAGGGCTTTCAGTGGGTTTACGTAGACAGAGAGGCCCATAGACAAACGCAGGGTTCCATGTAGACCAGTGTGGACTACACGGACTCTCTACCTTACAAACTTTACAACCCACCTGCTCATCCAGCTCGCCCGTACCCCATGGGTCCAGGCACCTCATCCTGTGCCTCCTGGACTACCTCATCACTGAGGCCCAGGAGAAGCAGTGCCACACTCTTTCCTTTGGGTTTACAGGAGAGAATCACCAACAGGCAAGAAAGCCGACCAGGAGACTTGGCAAACACATCAAAGCCCTCAGAGACCCTTTGTGGATGACCCTGGTGGGCCCACTACAAGCCCGGACACAGAAACCCAACACCTGCGGAGCCCTAGACAGACAGACAGCGGCGAGTGAAACCCAGCCCCAGCTGCTGCACCTTTATAAAATATACAGCGTAAACTGAGAGGCTGCAAGGAAGACACAGCCTGACTCCCTAAGCCCGGCCTACCAGCCTAGTGAGTACCCTGGCCCAGCCCGCTCCGGGATCTGTGTCCACTACGCCCACACCTACAGCCCAGCTCCCCGACTGCTCTCTCCACTGGCACCCCCGATTCCACCTGCACACAGTACCAGTCCTTACACATTCTTGATCCTTCTTCTTCTCCCCAGGCTCAGGGTCCTGTCCTCAAGTAACCTAGGACCCCAGTCACACAATAGAACCTCAGTCTTGGCCCAAACCACCTCGAAATATGTCAAGAACATGATCCTACACAAGAATCCTCTTCTTGAAGGAAAATTTTAAAAATCCAAGAGAAATCAGATCGAGTCCAGCTTGGCAGGGAAAGAAGATAGCATTTGGGAAAGATGAGAGAAGGTGAGGAAGGGAAAGGGATGTCGTCACCTCTGTTAGGGACGTTCGTTCAAGTGGGCAGAAAGGGGCTGAAAAGTGAAAGCCCAGGGCAGGCAGCTCCACCAAGTCACCACCAGGCTAAGCTAGCCTCACATCCCACAATTCAGCTCCCAGCTGTCTCTCCCTCCCTCACCCCTGGATCAGAGGACACCGGTGAGGTGAGGAAAGCACGGCATTGCATCATTAACGGAGACACCAGACACCAGCCCACTTCCGATGTGCCAGGGGCTGGGCCTGTGGGCTTAGGGACGGATCCATTCTCCGTCCATCACCCCTGCCCACAGAATGTTCATCAAAGAGCCCAGTCCACACGCCTCCCCACCCCCACTCCCAGGGAGGAGGGTATCTGACTACCCACATATCTCTATGGCAACCATCTCCTCAGACGCAAGGTACCCAGAGAGGAAGAAAATAAACAAATAAGTCAACTTTATAGCCACATACGTGAAGAGCATGAGACAGGGGTGGGAGAGGGCAAGACAGGCCTGGCTGTAGGGACAGAGACCCTCCCAGGCAGATGACAGATGCAGCGCCCAACTAACAGGTATCAGAATAATCGAGAACATGACAAAGCCTGCTTTCAGCTCTGTGGAATTTTAGAGCTTCTCCAAGGGCTTGGGGACATCTCTACCCCAGAGATACCACAGCCCACCTCTTTCCCAGGGTAGCTATCTTGGCTCCTAATGCATTTATGGTGTCCCAGCCCGAATTCCCTCCTCTGAATCACATAACCTTTGTCCTCCAGCTGCACCCTGCAGACCTCGATGACCTGATCCATCCACATACCTCCTTACTCACCAGACCTGTTCAAAGAGCACTTCGCACATAGCTGGGTCTACACCTATCAGATGAGGTGAGATTGGCAAGCACCCAATAGGAAGTTCAGGGAGTGTACTTTCTAGGTGTGAAAACCAGGACCTGATCTTCCCTTCCTGACAAATCAGGCTCCGAGACCCAAGCATCCACACCCCTCAGACCCAGAGTTGCTTGCTCCCACCAAGCCAAGCGATTGGAGTTTCCAGACCACAAGCCTTCAATCTCCACCCACCATACACAGCATCTGCTGCTGCACCACCAACTTTGTAATTTGATCAAAAAAAGCAATCAAGTTCGTCTGGCAGCATTTGTTCCCAAGAAGCCCTCCCCAGTAGCAGCCTCCCCTGATATTTACAGATTTCCTTCCCTTGGGAGTCTGTTCCGCCGCCTGGTGGGCAGGGGGAGGTTGCATTTGTCAGAGCTGCTCACTTACTGCATTTCCACCACCCGGGCCTAAGGGATTAAGATAGGCCTGGAGCTAAGAGTCCACTGAAGGCAGTAGGTTTGTAGAGTGGCTAACACTGCCCTAAAAAGACAGGTTTCAATTGTCACAAATCAAGGAGAGTTCTCCAGTCTGTGCCACCAGTCACCCTCCAGACGCCCCCAACCGACCCCAAAACTCCCTTGAGCCTTTGGGGACCACTCCTCCCTGTAGCCACCTGCACCTCTCACATCTACTTCATGTTTTCTATTCGAACACTTCCAGTTCCTGATATCACTTCTTGTCTGGCTTCAAAGTCCACCCACCTTTAAATTCCAAGAGCTAAAACACACAATCCCCACCCCCCAACTCCCCCCTCCTGGACCATCTTAAGATGAAGCCAGGGCCCAGGGAGAGGCCAAGACAGGGAACACTCACCCCGGGCGGACAACTTCTTGGTATTGATGATTTTTGCTGCATACTCCTGGGTGGAGGTTTTCTTCACACACCTGCGGACCACAGAGAAAGCACCCCTGGAGGAAAAAGGGGGAAAGAACTGGGACACGGAGCAGGGCAGAGTGACACAGACACACTGCAATCTGAGGGCAACAATGCTCCCATCACAAGGCCTTGAGTTGAAATCACCTGGGGGGAGGGAGGAGGGGACGACTGACCACCCTCTGACAGGGCGCTGAAGAATGTGGCCCGAGGCATGATCCTGAGCAGACCAGGGGGCTAAGTGCCACCCCACCGTTACCCCCTCTCAAGGTTTCAGAAGCCACGGCCCTCAGTGTTCAGCTGCACAACAGGAGCTAGCGCTTTAAAACACACACCTGCTGCATCTCTCTGACAGCCCTGCGGTCTGGTCAAGAGACCAGGAGAGCTAGCAAGGAGACCCTGTTCGCCCCCAGGAGGTATAATTGGGAGGAGGGGGGAGAGATCAGAAAGGGGCGTATAACCCCCTGAGAGTTCTCTTTCAGCAATGGGGGAAGGTGAGAAAAGCGAAGCTCAAACAGCCCCCCCACACACACACACCCCTGCCGCGGGCTTCAACCCACGGGTAGGGCATCCCGGCTCAACTGACAGCAGGGAAGATTGTGGGGTTCCAACACCGATACTGCCCCTTCCCTGTGATTTCCCCCACCACCACCCCCCACGTCTGCCTGCCCCCGCCCCTCATGAGTGCTCGAACTCTCCAGCTCTGGAAGCGTCTAGGGGGAGGGCAGGGCGGGGGCTGCAGTGGCCCGGCGGGCTGGGGCTGCAGCGGCGGCCAGCTCAGTGCGGAGGGGAGGGGGATGCTGCGGCTGCGGCGCGCGGCTCCCGGGACCACTGCAGGGATGGGGGGAGGGGACGGGGGTACTGCAGCACTGCCCAGCAGCGGAGCTGGGATTCTGGAAGCGGCACTAGCCGGGAGGCGGGGCCGGCACCAAACAGGCCGCCCCCCCGCCCCCCCCGCAAGCACACCGGGCACCGCAGCGGGGTGGGAGCTGCAGGGCTGGAGAGGGTCTTGAGTGTCGAGCGCGTGGGACTTGGGGACGGGCTGAGCAGTGAGCTCCGGACCACGGTGGGTAGGGGGCGGCAAGCCGAAGGGACCTGGAAGGGGGGCCCTTAAGGGTGCAGGAGGGGCGGGGCTGCAGGGCGCCCAGGAGCGGTCCGTGGGCTGCAGTCCCCGCGGCAGCGCGGGTGCAGCAAGCTGGACAGCTGCTGCAGGGAGCGGAGGGGGCTGCGGGGCCAGGAG